ATAAAGAGAATGAATTAAATGGGAAATGCCAAGAGTAGTACAAAGTGTCGGTTATCTTTGGGTTGTATATGAAGAGGTAATACTATGTGTAGTGTTGACGTCAAAATTTTCTAATTACTTTGTGTTGATTTATCATGTCGAATAGGGCCGGCCAGACCCTAAAGCAAGTGCTTTAGGCCCCAAAAATTTAAGGCCCCAAATTACTATTTCTCTCTATATATGATATATAGTATATAATTATTTCTTATTATTGATAAATTTATTTCTTTATTTTCATATTTATATTGTTTAATAACTTAATTTCTTCCTATAATCAATATATTAATATATTCAAAATAGTTTTCCGTCAATCTTATTTTACGTTTTTACTGAATTATTTTTTTTATTTATTATTTAGTCACGTAACTATATCTAATAATCTAAATTATCATTTATTTTTCTCACATAAATTATACTCCCTCCGTTCCTATTTATATGAAAGTGTTTGACTAGACATGAAATTCATGAAACAACGAAAAACTTTTGAAACATGTGATCTAAAACACACCATAGAAACTTGTGCGGCTAGAAATCATCTCATTAAGTGTAATTTTAAAGTTGATTTATCACCTAATTTAGTAGGCGTTTGGACATAAGAATTGTGAAATTCCTGAAAAAGGTTTAAAAACAAAATTCTAAGTTGAAAATTATTTGAAAATTAGAATTGTGTTTGGACATGAACAAAATTTGGAGTTATTTTTGAATTTTTGTGAGTTCTTTGAAATGAAAATTATGAAAATTTCTTTTTTGGAGTTTTTTTTTGTACTTTATAAAACCAAATTATCATTTTTTTTTCATTTCATATGCTCACTTTGCTTTAGGCCTCAAATGCTATTAAGCCGGCCCTGCCTTGAATACTCGCTGCACGCAATATCTTATGTATATGTTTCTTATTGTTTTTTCTCTATTATAAATAACAAACTTTGCAATAGTGACAACAATTCATCTGTCAAACCCACGGAATTGGATGGAATCATAAAACAACAGATAATTACAAAAAATGATGATACACTTATATTAAGAAACATATTTTTAAAATAATATGCTTTGCCTGCAAAAAATTTTACACGTAAAGAGACCAAAAAGTAAGAACAACATATAAAAGAAATTTTGACGCATTATTAGAGTACATCATCTTCGAATTCTATCTTAAATCAATTTAAACCATTGATTTATTTTGTCACAGCCCTAAAACCAACTCGGTCGTGATGGCGCCTATCATGGAACTAGGCCAGCTGACACAAACCCAAAACCAATCAGTATTTCCCATTCTTAGGATAAAATCAAATCTATTTAACAATATACCTTTATGTAGTGTTTAAAACAAACAACAGTGTGGAAAGAAAAGCCCGACAATCGGGGTGTCACTAGTCATGAGCATCTACTACAACTGTCTGACAACCTCAAGACCAACATGGCCGGGGGAGAATCACAAAAAAAATACACTAAGAGAGAATAAGAAGGGATAAAAGCAGGGTTGTGATCGCCAGACAGCTACCTTGCTAACTCCAATGAACCTGCCACCACAGTACGAAACAAAGGCCTCTTATTAAGGCTTTGCATTAGGCCTCAAATACTATTAAACCACCCCTGCATTGAATACTCGCTACACGCAATATCTTATGTATATGTTTCTGATTAATTTTTCTCTATTATTAATAGCATACTTTCTATACTGACAACAATTTATTTGTCAAACCCACGGAATTGGATGGAATCACGAAACAACAGATAATTACAAAAAACGATGATACACTTATATTAAGAAACATATTTTTAAAATAATACGCTGTGCCTGCAACAAATTTTACACGTAAAGAGACCAAAAAGTAAGAACAACATATAAAAGAAATTTTTACGCATTATTAGAGTACATCATCTTCGAGTTCTATCTTAAATCAATTTAAACCATTGATTTATTTTGTCACGATTCCAAAACCAACTCGGTCGTAATGGCGCCTATCATGGAACTAGGCCAACTGACACAAACCCAAAACCAATCAGTATTTCCCATTCTTAGGATAAAATCAAATCTATTTAACAATATACCTTTATGTAGTGTTTAAAACAAACAACAGTGTGGAAAGAAAAGCCCGACAATCGGGGTGTCACTAGTCATGAGCATCTACTACAACTGTCTGACAACCTCAAGACCAACATGGCCGGGGGAGAATCACAAAAAAAATACACTAAGAGAGAATAAGAAGGGATAAAAGCAGGGTTGTGATCGCCAGACAGCTACCTTGCTAACTCCAATGAACCTGCCACCACAGTACGAAACAAAGGCCTCTTATTAAGGCTTTGCATTAGGCCTCAAATACTATTAAACCACCCCTGCATTGAATACTCGCTACACGCAATATCTTATGTATATGTTTCTGATTAATTTTTCTCTATTATTAATAGCATACTTTCTATACTGACAACAATTTATTTGTCAAACCCACGGAATTGGATGGAATCACGAAACAACAGATAATTACAAAAAATGATGATACACTTATATTAAGAAACATATTTTTAAAATAATACGCTGTGCCTGCAACAAATTTTACACGTAAAGAGACCAAAAAGTAAGAACAACATATAAAAGAAATTTTTACGCATTATTAGAGTACATCATCTTCGAGTTCTATCTTAAATCAATTTAAACCATTGATTTATTTTGTCACGATTCCAAAACCAACTCGGTCGTAATGGCGCCTATCATGGAACTAGGCCAACTGACACAAACCCAAAACCAATCAGTATTTCCCATTCTTAGGATAAAATCAAATCTATTTAACAATATACCTTTATGTAGTGTTTAAAACAAACAACAGTGTGGAAAGAAAAGCCCGACAATCGGGGTGTCACTAGTCATGAGCATCTACTACAACTGTCTGACAACCTCAAGACCAACATGGCCGGGGGAGAATCACAAAAAAATACACTAGGAGAGAATAAGAAGGGATAAAAGCAGGGTTGTGATCGCCAGACAGCTACCTTGCTAACTCCAATGAACCTGCCACCACAGTACGAAACAAAGGCCTCTTATTAAGGCTTTGCATTAGGCCTCAGATACTATTAAACCGCCCCTGCGTTGAATAATCGCTACACACAATATCTTATGTATATGTTTCTGATTAATTTTTCTATATTATTAATAGCATACTTTCTATACTGACAACAATTTATTTGTCAAACCCACGGAATTGGATGGAATCACGAAACAACAGATAATTACAAAAAACGATGATACACTTATATTAAGAAATATATTTTTAAAATAATACGCTTTGTTTGTAACAAATTTTACACGTAAAGAGACCAAAAAAGTAAGAACAACATATAAAAGAAATTTTTACGCATTATTAGAGTACATCATCTTCGAATTCTATCTTAAATCAATTTAAACCATTGATTTATTTTGTCACGATCCCAAAACCAACTCGGTCGTAATGGCGTCTATCATGGAACTAGGTCAGCTGACACAAACCCAAAACCAATCAGTATTTCCCATTCTTAGGACAAAATCAAATCTATTTAACAATATACCTTTATGTAGTATTTAAAACAAACAACAGTGTGGAAAGAAAAGCCCGACAATCGGGGTGTCACTAGTCATGAGCATCTACTACAACTGTCTGACAACCTCAAGACCAACATGGCCGGGGGAGAATCACAAAAAAATACACTAAGAGAGAATAAGAAGGGATAAAAGCAGGGTTGTGATCACCAGACAGCTACCTTGCTAACTCCAATGAACCTGCCACCACAGTACGAAACAAAGGCCTCTTATTAAGGCTTTGCATTAGGCCTCAGATACTATTAAACCGCCCCTGCGTTGAATACTCGCTACATGCAATATCTTATGTATATGTTTCTGATTAATTTTTCTCTATTATTAATAGCATACTTTCTATACTGACAACAATTTATTTGTCAAACCCACGGAATTGGATGGAATCACGAAACAACAGATAATTACAAAAAAATGATGATACACTTATATTAAGAAATATATTTTTAAAATAATACGCTTTGTCTGTAACAAATTTTACACGTAAAGAGACCAAAAAGTAAGAACAACATATAAAAGAAGTTTTTACGCATTATTAGAGTACATCATCTTCGAATTCTATCTTAAATAAATTTAAACCATTGATTTATTTTGTCACGATCCCAAAACCAACTCGGGCGTGATGGCGCCTATCATAGAACTAGGCCAGTTGATACAAACCCAAAACCAATCAGTATTTCCCATTCTTAGGATAAAATCAAATCTATTTAATAATACCTTTATGTAGTGTTTAAAACAAATAACAGTGCGGAAAGAAAAGCCCGACAATCGGGGTGTCACTAGTCATGAGCATCTACTACAACTGTCTGACAACCTCAAGACCAATAATGTCGGGGTAGAATCACAAAAAATTACACTATGGGAAAATAATAAGGGAGAAAAGCAAGGCTGTGATCGCCAGATAGCTACCTTGCTAACTCCAATGAATCTACCACCACAGTACGAAACGAAGGCCTCTTATTAAGGCTTTGCTTTAGGCCTAAGATGTTATTAAGCCTCCCCTGCGTTGAATACTCACCACACGCAATATCTTATGTATATGTTCCTTATTGTTTTTTCTCTATTATAAATAGCATACTTTGCTATACTGACAACAATTTATCTGTCAAACCCACGGAATTGGATGGAATCATGAAACAACAGATAATTACAAAAAATGATGATACACTTATATTAAGAAACATATTTTTAAAATAATACGATTTGTCTGCAACAAAGTTTACACGTAAAGAGACCAAAAAGTAAGAACAACATATCAGAGAAATTTTTACGCATTATTATAGTACACCATCTTCGAATTCTATCTTAAATCAATTTGAACCATTGATTTATTTTGTCACGACTCCAAAACCAACCCGGTCATGATGACACCTATCATGGAACTAGGCCAGCCGACACAAACCCAAAATCAATCAGTATTTTCCATTTTTAGGATAAAATCAAATCTATTTAACAATAAACCTTTATGTAGTGTTTAAAACAAGCAACATTGCGAAAAGAAAAACCCAACAATCGGGGTGTCACTAGTCATGAGCATCTATTACAACTGTCTAGCAACCTCAAGACCAACATGGTCGGGGTAAAATCACAAAAAAATACACTAAGGGAGAATAAGAAGGGAGAAAAGTAGGGTTGCGATCGCCAGGCAGCTACCTTGCTAACTCCCGATGAACTTTCCATCGAGCTCAGAAATACCTAGATCTGCACACAAGGTGCAGGGAGTAATGTGAGTACGCCAACTCAGTAAGTAATAAAAGTAAATAAAGACTAAGCAGTAGAAAACAATAAATCCACATCATGATAAACTCAGTAAGCATAACAAGCTTTCAAATCAGAATATGAGTCAATCATCTCATTTAAAATCTAGCTTTTGGTAAAAATCATTTAAAGATGCTTTCCAACAGTTTCAATAGAGGTTCAGTATAGTTTATAGTAAAAGTGATAAAAATCATAATCGGCCCCTCGGGCAAAATATAGTTCGTATACAGCCCCTTGGGAAATCATAAATCATATACATCTCATAATAGAAAAGTTTCAGTAGAAATAACAAAGCCAAATCTGTGATTAAACTCCGAACATCTCGTAAAAACTCCAATTTCAATGAAAGTTGTTTAAAAACATTTGTTCAACATTTTCAACAGAGGCTCAGTATAAAGAGGAGTGAAAACAGTAATTTCATAAAAACAAGCCCCTCGGGCAAAGCATTACTCATGTATATATATAGCCCCTCGGGCAAGTCTCTCAGTCACTCGAGACTCAACTCTCATCAATCAACGCTCACACTCAGCACTCACGCTCAATAGGTGTCTTATAATAACCGATGCAATGTACAGTCCGATCCATAAATATATAGTCGACTGCGCTCACTGGGGGTGTGCAAACTCCGGAGGGGCTCCTANAGGCCCTTGGCCTCTCTTAGTCATCAATCTTACAATCAGGATATCGGCCTCTCTCAGCCATCAATCTCACAAGCCACCCGGACTATCAGTAAAATAGGGCGTTCAGCCCAAAGTATCATATATAATATCAAAACTGAGTAAATAAGGCCGAGTTATGAAATCAGTGAAACACAGCATTGTCACACCTCCTTTTTACATCCCGAGAGGTATACAAGGGAGTTTTTTCAATTTAAGTGATATTATTTGAGATTAATTATTCATTTTTTATTCAGATTCGCCACTTGGGATGGTTTATTTTCTGGTGTCCCAAGTCACCGGTTTATTTTTAAATCCCAAATTGAGGAAGATTTCGACTTTCCTTTTGAAGTCTGCGAACCAGAAATTCTGAGTAAGGAATTCTGTTAACCCGAGGGAATGTGTTAGGCACCCCCGGATTCCGTGGTTCTAGCACGGTCGCTTAAACTATCATAATTGGCTTATTATCTGATTTTAATACATGTTTTAGCCTAGGGTACATTTTAACTTATTAAACCAATTTTAATTATTTTTTAAAGAAGATTTAACGTCGTGTAAAATATGTCTTTGGATTGCGCCACATGAAATGCACCCGCAATTCGAAATATATCTTATTCAAAGTTGTGAGATTTAGAGTTGGGTCACATGAAATGCACACCCGAGTTTAGGAAGGTAATATTATTAAACTATGCGCCTAAAGCAACTACACATTTTAACTTTGCGAGGGCCATGAGAATTTGCTAAATGGCGCGCCTCAATTTTTAAAGAGTTAGTATCAATTACATGAGGGCCATGAGTTATTTAATGAAAATGGCACACCTCAAATTTTTCAAAGGGGTTTTATTATTCAAAGTTGTTATAATTGGGTTACATGAAATGCACCCCCGAATTGAGATTCACATATCATAACAATGCCACGGGGACCGTACCCATGGCCACTATAATTTAATTACTCATAGTTACGATGTTCGAGACTTAGTGAATTTTCCAAGATTTTGACAATACCCCAGTATTCAAACGTTGGCCATCTAAACAAATGCATTTATATATTAAATGCACATTAATACACTATAGAACTGATGCCTATACATATACAAATGCTACATAACTAATTTTATAAGGAATGTCCATTATCCAAACAGACTACAGTGAAATCATAAGAAGCCAACTAAACATTTTTCATAGTAAATTTCCAACCTTAATAGTACTCTCTGATTTCACACTTCATTTCAAACGCATCACAATACTTCAACAAACACACAAAAGAACGAAAATAGCTGTCAAATAATCATGGGAATGAAACAGACGAAAAATGATTAATTCCATACAATTCTTATCTAAACAAATCTGAAGTTTATATTATTCAAACAAAATGTAATACCTGATTACAGCGGCACAGAGACAAACAGAGAATAAGTCTCTTCAAAATGAATCCGAGTTCAGCTGACTTGCAGCTCCAGAATCGGATGGAGACGTGACCAAGACCAACGAAACTTTGACTTCGGAACTTGCCGGAGGTCGATGAAATACAGGCGGACCTCGACTCTTCAGCCTCGAAACTTGCCGGAAAGTAAAAAATGCGTGACTGTGTTTGTGCGTGCTCCGACAGATATGGTGAAGAGAACACGAAGCAGCGAAATACAGGAGGTCATAAAATCGGCTATTTGTGCGAATCACTTGCGGTAGCAGCAGGTTAGTCAACAAATCAGCCGCAGAGACAAAATCTAGCAAAATGCCGAAAATAAAATTGTTTAAGCAAGACATCAAGTCCCTATCTCCATTTTAGATCTAGGATTTTTTTTGTCTTCTATTGATTTTCCTCTAAAGATTAGGGAACACGGCTGATAGTCTTCTTTGTATTGTTGCAGCTGAGGCTTTTTGGAGAAAGTGTATCGAAGAAGAAGAAGCCGAGGCTCGGGGCGCTATTGTGTCTCATCCCCTTTTGATTTTTTTTTGCCTTACCTATAATATAGGTCTAGGTTTTAGGTGTATTTTTTGTGTATTTGCCAATTAGTCCCTGGGTCTTTTTGTGGTAAGTTCTTAGGGTCTTTTTATTTATTTTTGTTCCAAAGAAGAGACTAGAAGGGTCCCTAGGGTTGGCTTAATGGGTATTGGGTATTGGGCCAAGAATTGGGCTCTAAAACTCTTAAAATTGTGGTCTAACACCTTAATTGACTCCTTTTAAAATAAGATAGAAATACTACACAATGCCAAAGCTAATCCTAATTAATTAAACTAAACATGAAACTATTTTTGTGTTTTCAAAATTATATAAAGATAAAAATAAGGTACTATTTTTGTATTTTTTTTATATTTTCTTTTTAAAATTTATGAAAAATACATCAACTAATTTTTTTTTTGTAATTTTCATTTTTCTTGTAATAAAATAAAGTAAAAGAGTCAAATGAGTTGAAATAGCTATATTAGGCCTAAACTAAATATTTGCGTGCTAAAATATAAAAAATCTTGGGAGGGTCAAAAATCACATGTCTACAGCTGCCCCTCTTTGACTGGAAACGCGAAGAGTTTTCAGACAAAGAACGACTAGACAGGTTTTTTGACCCGACCCTTATTTAAGGAGACCAAAAACTAAGAGGAAGGAGAATGTGACCGAGCCCTAGTATCTGAGCTGCCTACATATCCTTGGCTATAAAGGAATCAAGCCACGTGTAGTTCAGAGGTGAGTGAGATGATGGAGTATGCCGAGGTGAAGAGCCGATCGAGCTGCCGTTGAGGTTCTGGTCCGCGGTCCCGTTATTAAATCAAAATCAAAAATGAAAAAGACTAACTAATCCTATTAGCTACGAGTTACAAGATTCCTATCTATGAGTCTTCTGAAGCTTGATCTTGAGTCTTGGCTGATTCTTCATGCGGACCCTGATCTGAATCTTGATACTTGTTAGCAGCAGGTGTTGGTTCAATCTTCTTTATCTTTTCAAACCAAGATGGGACATGCAGAGCTTGTGACCTCAGCCCTGTCTTGAGCAGCTCACATCTTTTATTAACTTCTGCATTCGGATTCACTTCTTGTCTTTCTTTTTTTTTTTTTTTGACTGTGACTAACTTTTGTTGATCATCTTGGATTGTTGACTCGCATTCTTGCCGCGAGCTTCTGCTACTTCTAACTTGAATTGAATTCTGAAATAACTTCCCTTGTTTTCCAGGCGGGCGCCTGATTGCTGAACTTAAACCGTCTTCTCTTGTTACTTGACACTGTTTTCCCTTGCACCCTTGAACCATTTTCCCTTGAAACCTGAACTGTCTTCCTTCGAAACTGATTTCCCTTGAAACTTGAGTTGTCTTCCTTCGAAACTGCTTTCCCTTGAAACTTGAGTTGCCTTCATTTGTTCTCCAGGTGGGCACCTGATTACAACAAAATAGACAAAACAAAAGAAATTTTTCTGCCCCAGTTTGCACTAGGAAGATTTGTGAGTTGTTAGCAAAATTGTAAACCACTTGTACTATTGATGCAATGATGAGAGTAAACTAAAGAATAAACTAGAAAAACTATAAACTAAGCTTGACTAAAGTAAAGACTGATCCTATTCTCCAGGCGGTGCCCCTAATTTCAAGAAAACTAAACATTGATAACTTAAGAAAACTAAAAATTGACCTTTTTTTTTCAAATCCAGACTTTTTTTTTTAAAATATCCTAAGAGAAAATTCGTCAGACTAGGTTTTCTATCTTAGGAGAAAGATTCATCAGACTAAGACGTTTATCCTAGGAGGAAATTCATCCGACTAGGTTTTTTTGTTATCTTAGGAGAAAGATTCATCAGACTAAGACGTTTATCCTAGGAGGAAATTCATCCGACTAGGTTTTTTTGTTATCTTAGGAGAAAGATTCATCAGACTAAGACGTTTATCCTAGGAGGAAATTCATCCGACTAGGTTTTTTTGTTATCTTAGGAGAAAGATTCATCAGACTAAGACGTTTATCCTAGGAGGAAATTCATCCGACTAGGTTTTTTTGTTATCTTAGGAGAAAGATTCATCAGACTAAGACGTTTATCCTAGGAGGAAATTCATCCGACTAGGTTTTTTTGTTATCTTAGGAGAAAGATTCATCAGACTAAGACGTTTATCCTAGGAGGAAATTCATCCGACTAGGTTTTTTTGTTATCTTAGGAGAAAGATTCATCAGACTAAGACGTTTATCCTAGGAGGAAATTCATCCGACTAGGTTTTTTTGTTATCTTAGGAGAAAGATTCATCAGACTAAGACGTTTATCCTAGGAGGAAATTCATCCGACTAGGTTTTTTTGTTATCTTAGGAGAAAGATTCATCAGACTAAGACGTTTATCCTAGGAGGAAATTCATCCGACTAGGTTTTTTTGTTATCTTAGGAGAAAGATTCATCAGACTAAGACGTTTATCCTAGGAGGAAATTCATCCGACTAGGTTTTTTTGTTATCTTAGGAGAAAGATTCATCAGACTAAGATTTCATTGGGAGGAAAATCCATCAGACTAGGACATATTACCCTAGGAGGAAAATGTAAAGAGCAATGGCATGACTTTATGCATAATAGCAAGACAAACAAAGGCAAAGATTTGAGAAAATTCCCTTTGTAGTCTCTTCTCTTCTTTTCTTTTCCTTCTCTTTTTTGTTTCTTTTTTTCTTTTCTTTTTCTTTTTTTTTAACCACTTTCCTTGCATTGCTTTGTTCCTGTTTCACACAAAGAAAAATTGGTCAGTTTTGAAAATGGTGGTCGGTTTGTGGCCTTGAGTCTTGGGCAGCTTGGCTTCTGCTCAATCAGCTTGAGTCGGTCTCAAAAGACTTTTGTTCTGCACCAACTCTGATTGTTTCACACCAGTACCATTTGTATTTGCAGCTCAAATAACCTTATCCCAATTAGAGATCTTTGCTTAGGTGACCTTTGCTGATATCTTGAATGACTTCCTGCTTTTGAGCAATTTATTTGTCAGAGAGAATCACAAGTTATCTTTCTTGTGCCAAATAGGCTGATAAGAGTCTTTTTGGGGAAGCCTTTGCATGAATCCTCAAGGTATATTGACAGTAACTACTGAGTGTGCTGGCCAAATTCACTTTGTGCAATTGAAAAGCTGGTAGCAGGTTTTGAAATCTTTTCTTGTTTGTTTTGATAAGGACTGACTCGGAGTGGAGGACACAATGATGCAAAAACAAGTATTAACAAGAAATGCCCCCTGCCGGAAGGATAGAAGGAAGAGTTTTTTTTATATAACTAGCCTTAATGATCATGACATGCATTTTAGACTCAATGGTCTGATCTATCAAACTAATCCAATCTTCCCTTTTACCATTCTTATGACCTTTGAGGTCGAACTTGTTCGTACCAATCCTTTGTATCAGCTTCAAGACTCACCTTCAACTAGTGGCGTCCCGAGGAGTTTTTACCACCAAGTCTCTCTCATTTATTCATCTCTGCTAACCGTCGCCTTACAGTGCCCGTAAGGGTTTTCACTAGTAAGACTCTCTCATTTTTCTTTTTTTTTTTCTTTTCTTTTTCTTACTTTTTGTGAGTAACTTGACAGTGTTATATGTCGTGTGACAACCGTTGCTCATTGCATGCTTCTCTTGGCATTCTTGAAGGCATATCGGGAGGTATTTATTTGGACGGTTTTGGATAGGGTTGGAAAGGAAGGTCGGTATGAAGGCTCAAAGTAAACTCAAAATGAGGGGTTGTGGACTACCCCAGTTTCAGATGCTGGGGATTTTTGGATTTTTCTATTTTTTTTTCTTTTTTTTTTTGCTGGCTAAACCGAACCGTGAGACTGCCTATGTATCCTTATTTTCAAGGAATCAGGTCTAACGTAGTTCAAACATCTGATCTAACTATAATTTCATCATTCTTTCTTCTTTTTTTTTCTTTTTTTTTTTTTTTTTTTTTTTTNTTCTAAGAAGTGCCCCAGTTTGTACTCTTGGGACATGGATTTTTTTTTGACTCTAAACTTGATTCCAAAAGAGAGTAGTCAAAGAAAAATAACACAGGCTCAAAAGGGGTAGTGAAGGATATAAAGTGTTTGGATAGCAGAAAAAGGGCCTCCCAACCTTGAGAACGCCAAACATAATATCTTTTCGCAATCACAGCATTGACGAACATGTCTGTCTTCTTGGTGTCTCACACTTTCTATCCCTTACTTTCCTACAAACTTCAGTTGACTAAACATCCTCAAGCCCGACCTCCACAATGATTTGAAGGTAAATTTTACTCGACCTCAATTCCAAAGTATCTCCACTCTTTATTCATCCTCAAAAGTATCTTTTTTTTAGTTGTCCAATTCAAACTTAAATCAATTTTCTAAGATCTGGCCAAAAATTCTGCATGCATGTCATGTCATTAAAACTTGCGGAAAAAGAACTAAGCATGGAATGACGCAAAAGGACAAACTATATTTCATTGAGTAAACAACAAGACAAACAACCTAAAATCCGAGTTACAACCCTAAATAACCCGTCAAATGAAAATAGCAACAGAACAGAAAGACAAGACTCACACAAACCGAATGGAGGGATAAAAGGGTTTGACTAGATAAAACAAATAAAATCTGGATCACAACCATAAAATAAGCCAGATAATAGAAAAAACATCAAAACAAACTACCAAGATTCCTTCCTAGTGAGGAGGGAATGACTTTTCAATTGCTAAGCTTGACATTTAGCCACAAATTTGTTCATCAGAATCAGCAGAGCCTTCTCCAATTTCACAATCATTAACTTCATTTAGCAAATTCCCGAGAGGATTCTCATGCTCCCTGTCACCACGCATCATCCCCACAAAGTGTGTATCATCATGTGCAGGTAAAGGATTCTGCGCACTATTCTGGGTGTCACTGTCTTGGATCACAATCAGGTTTTCCTGGATCATCCTTTCTATTTCTCTTTTCAAATCCCGACAACTTTTGGCATTGTGCCCCTGGGCATTGGAATGGTATTCACACCTTTTAGAAGGGTCAAATATTCTCGCACG